CTTCAGGGTTGTTCTCTTAATTTGTACATGCCGGTTCGTTCTCTGGTTTCACTTTGATGATCTAAAGTGTTGTTCCTACAATTTTCAGATAGATCCTATAAAACCTTCTCTCTCTCCCCCCCCCCCCCCCCCCCCCGAGTGTGTATATTTTATAGGGCTCCTTAGTGGTCTGGATTTAAAGGGGAAAATGTGGTTTGGAGCCCACATGGCACCTGTTGGAAACACCTTAAATCAGATGTGCCTTTTCATGAAATTGCACAACAGCTGCAGAAGGCAATTGTGCAATACCAAATATAAATAACATGCTGGTGCCTAATAATACTTATTAGAAAATAATAGCTGAAAACAGAAACATTCTGCAGTCATATTCAGCGGTGACAAATACCTGTCCCCAAATTTTCATGAATTTGTGGGAATGGTAGAACGGTTAAGTATGTGCTTATTGTTGCTTGGTTTTTTGCAGAAAGGAGAAACGTGCTTCTCTCTTCTACAGAAATTAGCTTGATCTGAGCACAGTAGGGGGCAGGAAGTGAATGTGAGAGCCAGAGGTAGAAGACAGGAAGTGGAGATGAAGTCATTTAGTCCAAGGCTCCAGGGAAGAACTTGGATAATGCACCACAGAGTACTATAACATAGCAGCTTCTTGAGGCTTTGAACAGCAAATTACACTGCAGGCAGTGAGTAGCTGTGTTATACTGCAGACTGAACCACAAATTAGACAACCCTGTAGGCCAGTGTGCTATGCAAAGTCAATTTGTGTGATTAGTTTGTGGTTCAGTGTGGCATACAGTCGAAGTTGTTTTGTCATTTGGTTCTTGATGTGGACAGGTTGAGAAAATATGTAGGTTAGGGCTGAGGTGAAATGGCTGTCCCAATCTGCTCTATCCATATGGAGGTGACAATTTTGATTAGAAACAGTTGGAAACAACATGGTGTTTTATTTTCAGAAAAGAAACTGTTACCACACCAGGCCTCTTTTCTTAAATATTAAGGAAAATGTTGGATTGGGGGATTGGAAGCTTGCATTTCCATTTCTTTTTCAAATCATGCCCTTTATTTCAGAAGAGACAGTTGGATGAATCGACAGTTTTGTGGACATTTATTACTTACCAGAAGGAAAGTTTAGCAAACTTTGGTGGTGCAATGTGCTACAGCATTAATAGGAATAGTGTTCCTGGATTATTAAATTTTTGGTTTTTTTCAATGTAAGAGATGCTGAGATACACTATTTCAAGATCTATAGCTGCCAGGTAGGTAGAATTTGCTTGGATTCACACATTACACCAGGGGTTGTTTGGTTTTGGATTAGCATGTTGTATAAACCCAGCCATTTTATAAAATAAGCTTTATGGATTGTTGTTGTTGTTGTTATTTTATCTGCTTTCAGTCGTGACTGATTCTATGGAGACTGTCTAGACGAGTCCCTGCAGTTTTCCTGGCAAGGTTTTTTCGGCAGTGGTTTGCCATTGCCTCCTTCCTAGGGCAGAGCCCAGCTGGCAGTCGCAGGAAATCAAGTCTCTTCCGTTGCGTTGCCCCCAGCAACCGGCAACCTGGTTATAATCACATTATATTATGTGATAACCAGTTGTAGCTTAGCTGAACAAACTAGCTTAGCCCAGTGTGTAAACCTTGTCTCCATCAGCAGAGTGTAGTTTGCTCAGGAAGGCAGTGGAGCCCTTTAGATATTAGAGTAGTGGTGCCATAGGCCTCAGGATGGTATCCAGATAGCCAGACATTTTTACTATGATAGAGTAAGCATAGTGTGCTAAATCATAATGTAGTTTATTTAGGTTTTGCTTAGCATGTTGTATGAATGCAGGTATCTTTGTTTGTTTTGAAAGATGGCTATGCAGACTATGATTGAACCCAGCCAATTCATAATGTCAGAATTTTTCTGAGGCTCTGGATGGTACAACAACAAGTCTTTATTACAATCAAAGATCAACTATGTGAGTGATACCACATCTACATATTATGAAGTATTCTTGTATGAAGATGCTTTTCAGTGGCCAACATATTAGTATGAAAAATGATGTCACTTTATTAACATGTGGTATGGCAATTGCAAGAATTGCATTGTTAGTTTGCAGAAACTACTACTTTAATGTTTAACTAGGAGTTATGTTCTTGGTATTCTGTTTTAGTGAAAGGGGGGAGATCATTTGTTGAGGAGGAATTTAGTTGTCTCTATTTTGCATACAGCTTATTCTACATAACATGACCTCTTGCTTGGGTTTTTTTGTGATCCAACCCAATTCTTGGCTGCATTTGCTTTTGTCTCCTGCTGTAGAGAAAGTGAGAGGGTTTATTTCTTGTGCTAAGCTATTATGTGTTTGTTTGGTTTTGCTTACTATTTTTTATGAACCTCGCATATTGTGCCATAGCTTAGCGTGACGTCTGAACTTAGTCAATATAATCATGAATAGCAATAATATTCTTAGAATATTTCAGCAGACTTTTGTAGAAGGTAGGGAATAAGTGGATCCATTATGTTTGTTATCTCCTTCTCCTTTCTCCAATCCTCAAGAGAGCCTATGAAGTAATAGATTCTTCCTATCTTTTCTTTACTATTTTACTACAAATTGTTCCACCATTTTGCCTTAAGGTTGACTTTGCGAGGAAGACTTTTATAGGTCTTGGATAGGTGAGCTTGCTAAGCGAACCAGGAAGACTGCATCTGTTTTGCTGACCTTACATCCTAGCCAGTAGGCCAAATCTTGGCTAGATAGCTCAGGGCATCTAACAAGTGGTTTACAACTCAAACCATTTCCTACATTTCTTTTCTTGGGCAACTTTCATGTTTCTTTTTTATTTTCTGTATTATTTCAAATTTGTAAGCCACCCAGAGCCTTCTGGAGTCAGGTGGCCTTGAAATCTAAGAAATAAAATAAAACTATATTAGAAGGGTAAGTCTTTCTATGGAACTGAATTAGAGAAACTGCCTTATGTAAATGTATTCATTTGTTACGATTTGTATCACACCCTTTTCTTTCTTTTTTGTTGCTTCTCTCTTTTCCTTCTCCATTGGACTCCTGTGTCATCTCCCTTTTTGCAAGATCACTGAAATTCTGGCACGTGAAAACATGCTCAGAAGAATTAGTGTTTTAATGCACTGGAATTACCTGTCGTGTTGTGGATTGAGGGGCAAATCTGACATAAGTAGTCGCATCTTCCTCCTGACTCCCTATAGAGTAGAGTATGCTAAAGCTTTTCTGCAGGAGTAGGTTATGATTATGATTGCTCAGCTGCTAGGGACATGTTTTCTATATGTGTAATAAATGTTAAAACAAATGCCATATTTTTTTTGGAATTACACAACTAGTGATGCTATTGGACATATTCAGAGCATCCATCAGATGCCAAATTACTAAAAAGTCTACCAGCCTGGAATACTTCTTCCAAGCTAGTTCTGATTCAAGTTATATTCTGTGAGGGGTGATTTTAAAGCAGGGTGCATAAAGTGCAGAATACAAATCCCTTCTACAGCTATCATATCTAGTAAGGCTGAAATTTTCAGCTGTTTTTATTTTCATTTTTTTTATTTGGGGGGATTTAAAGAAAAAATGGGTGCTCTAAGCTTGGCAGATGTTTAAGATGTATTTATCCCTTCACACATCCAAAAAAACCCACAGGCTTTCCTATCCATGTTTGGAATGTGGTGGTCACAAAGTCCACTGTAGCCCTCAAGCCAATGCAATAAACAGTAGTAAAGAAATGATAAATGTTTCTGAGAGTGTAAGGATATCTGGCTCAAGGACTGAATGTTTTAGAAAGGCAAAGGGAAACAAACAGAAGTAATGCTTAAATCTGTCATAATACAAGTTACTGTCTTTGTCAGAAACAGTTGCAGCAAAGAAAATAAACTGGCTAGAATTAAATGAACAACAAATTAGAAAATATAATAAAGGGGAAATTGTGTTGAACAGAAGGTGGTTTCAAACAGGGTTTCCAGCCTGGATGCCCTCCTAATGTTTGGACTTCAGCTCCCAGAATTCCCCAGCTAACATGTCCATTGCTGAGAA